GTACTTTCAGCTATTGGACTTCCCTTGTGGCTCAGCTGGTAAAGAATCTGCCTGCAATGAGGGAGACCTGGGTTCAATCCCTGGGTTGGGAAGATCCCTTGGAGAAGGGAATGGCTACCCAGTCAAGTATTCTAGCCTGGAGAATTCCATGGACTGTATAGTCCATGGGGTCAAAAAGAGTCAGACATGACTTTTACTTAAGCTATAGGCAGCATCCTTTTAGAGACTGCTCAAAGCCAAAGCAGTAGAATCCAAAGGTTAAAGAGAAATAGATCCAATATGGAGTCAGGTTTGTTCTTCCCATTATAATACCTGGGGCTTCCCCGGTGGCTCAGCAGTAAAGAATCCACCTGCCAGTCCAGGAGACATGGGTTTGATCCCTGGGTTGGGAAGATCCCTCGGGGAAGGAAGTGGTAACTCACTCCAGTATTTTTGCTTGGGAAATCCCATAGACAGAGGAGCCTGGTGGGCTGCAATCCAAGGGGTCACAAAGAGTCGAACATGACTTAGCAATGAAACAACAACATCACAATGCCTATTAGTCAACAAATAGTTTGGCCACCTGCCATATACCAGGAACTGTTCCAGGCATCAGGACAGGGAAGTGAACAAAATCTTTCTCTTCTCACCTCCCAGAGCTGGCACTCTGGGGGGAGGACCAAGATAAGAATCTGTCTTCAATATCAAATTACCACATATTAAAAGTTTGTCACCCATGGAGATGTGCTCTGGAGAGAGACCAAACTAAGCTGGGAAGAAGATTGGGCTACTCCGGGAATCACAAAGCATTATTTCATGTTATAAAACATTTTCTGAGTGTGAAATCCACCTTGAACCTGTGTCATAAAAAGGCCCCAAAGAGCCAGTCATGCTGCAGTGTTTTTGGTTTTGCTTTTAAGCTGAAGTGTAGCTGATTTACAATGTCTTACTAACTTCAGGTATATAGCAAAGTGATTCAGCTATACTTATATACACATTCTTTTTCATTTTCTTTTTCATTATAGTTTACTACAGGACATTGAATATAGTTCCCTGTTCTATACAACAGGGCCTTGTTGTGTATCCATTCTACATAGAATAATTTGCGTCCATTAGTCCCAAACTCCCAATCCAGCTCTCCTCACTGCTGCCATGTTTTGAGGCTCTCATCTGGCAATAGCGTGAAGCCTCACCTTACTCAAGAGCTAGCTGTGCCGGTATGCACCAGCCGAGGTGCTAGGGGTGTTTGGGAGGAGTTGAAGGGCCTGGTCCATGGAGACCAATGGCCTTTTTTGTTTCTCAGTTTTTGAACTTTAGAATTAAGTGATTTCACACATGGCAAAAAATAGCCGGGAAAGTTGAAATAGACAAAAAATGGGTAGCAAGTTCTAGGCACTGTCGAGGAGAATATTACCCTTGTTGTTGTTTAGTCACTCAGTTGTATTTGACTCTTTGTGGCCCCATGGGCTGTAGCCTGCCAGGCTCCTCTGTCCATGGAATTTCCCAGGCAAGAAGACTGGAATTGGTTGCCGTTTTCTCCTTCAAGGGGGTCTTCCTGACCCTGGGATAGAACCCTCATCTCTTGCATCTTCTGCATTGGAAGACAAATTCTTTACCAGTGCACCACCTGGGAAACCCCAGGTGGAATATTATCCTGTTATCCTGGAAGGCATATTATCCATCCTAGTGGATGTTAAACAGAGTTTGAGCTACAGATTTCCTCTGGGGTCCAGGGAAATGGAAGATTTAAGCAGTGCCTGTGAGCAAGTGCAGGCGGAGAGGGGAACATTGCAGCGGGGAAGCTGCTGTCTGTACCACTTTAGCAAAGTGAGCGAGAGCTACTGTCTGAGAAGCAGGGCTGAGAACAGCAGGGCGGGGATGCAGCTTCTGGGCACAGTGGCTACAGCCGAGGTGACCGTCGCCCATCACCACAGCCTGTGTTATGGAGAAGGTGTCAGGTGGGTGCTGGTGGGAGCTGTCTGAAGAAGACATAAGCGGGGCATCACAGATATTGTTCCCCCCCCCCAAATTAAATAGCCCAAGAATCTTCCTTAAGCCGTCCTTGCAATAAACCATCTCTACTGTCAAAACCACCACCAAGAGCAACGGCCCAGTGCATCTTTGTCAGGCCCTCGCCCAGTGTCACCTCCAGAACAGGAAATCACACCATCAGAAAACGGCTACTTGGCCAGACACTGCTCACACCGAGGGCAGCCAGGCTTTGCTCTCCCAGGGAAGCCAGAGGGGTGCCACCTGCCGGGGGTGAGCCTGCCATCTCCATCAGAGCCATCCAGGCTCCTCCTTGGGGCCTGGAGGGCGGGCCTGGCAGGCTGCCTCTCTGCCTGTCTCCTGTCTTGACACGTTGATTCACTTCAATGCGGGATTCACAGCAGAAGGCCAGCACCGATGTAAATATTAGTGGCAAACTGACGAATTTTCAAAGTGATAGTGGTTAAAGGGTTAGATAAATTAAAAATATTTATTAACACTTACAATATTGTTTTTGAAGACTTACGGTTTTCGTTGAGCCCAAGGGTGGATGGCAGCTCTGTAAAAAGTCCCAAGAAGTAGGAACAGCCGAAAGTGACGGTGCATCTGAGGCAGGTGTGCAAGATGGTGTGTGACCCAAGCAGAGGGAGTGTGTGAGCCGGGAAACAGGAGCGGGCAGCCATGGCCTGTGGACTGAGCCTGCTAGGAATGAAGCTGACAGGAAGACAGGGATGGGGTGAGCTGTAGGGAACAGTGTGGGTATGGGCAGATGAAGCAAGAATAAGAGGGGAGAGGAGGGGAAGGGGAGAGCAGCGATGCTTACAGCTGTGCAATTGGGGGTGATGCATTAAAGAGCCAGTGGTAAGAGATACAGGGGGCTTCCCGGGTGGCACTAATGGTAAAGGACATGCTTGCCAATACTGGAAACATAAGAGATGTGGGTTCGATCCCTGGGTCAAGAAGATCCCCTGGAGGAGAGCATAGCAACCCACTCCAGTATTCTTGCCTGAAGAATCCCATGGACAGAGGAGCCTGGAGGGCCACAATCCAGACAGTCACAAAGAATTGGACATGACGGAAGCAACTTTACATACATGTATAAGGGATACAGAGAAACAGAACACATGCCAAAGCCATTTGAAAAACAAGCCCAAGAAAAAACAAGTATTCTCAAAGGACTGTAGGTTCCTGGCTGGGGCAATGCCTGGGCTTTGGAAGGTAGGCAAGTAGTACATGGAAATCTCAGCCTCAGATGCAGTCAGAGCCAGCTTCAACATCACCCAGATTGTTGGCATGGCAATGAGGCTGGTCCCTGCTCTTAACAGAGTTCAGGTGCTGTGCAGGCACATGGAAGTTGGAAAACTGATGGGCTGCAGGAGACAGGAGTTGGAAAGGCAGGTGGGTTCACCGCACATAGCAGGTGAGGACCTGAAAGACCCATTGCAAGATCAGAGCAGAGCATGAGAAAGGAGAGCTCGGGCCATCACTGTGGAGAGGGGCCTGAACTTGTAACACAAATGGCACAGAGGGGATATTAGCCTGAGAAGGAGAAAGAAGCAGAAGAGGAATATTGTTCCCAAAAGACATGTCTACTCACTGTCTTTCCAGAGAGGGCTTTTGGTTAATAGCAGATGTCTTTGCTTTAAGAGCAAATATGAACTGTGCTTTTAAGAGAAAACAAAACTTTGCTGAGCGATTGAATGTTCAGAAATTTCCACAAAGAAAAATTAATGATTGATGGTCAAATATTAAGTAAGCAATAAAATTATTTGTACAACCAAATTATAATAAAACCTATGTCTTTTTTTGGGGGGGATGGTGCTCACTGAGAAATAGTGATCTGGCAATATTACCTGGAGAAAAATTTTACCTCTACCAGGCAGGTATTATGTTCTATGGTCCTTTTAAGGTATTTCCTATTGAGAAGAAACTGTTTCATGTAATCATGTGTGTGTACAGGTGTTTGTGTATCTGCATCTCTGAGTGTGTAGAGTGTGTGTGTGTGTGTGTGTGTGTATGTGTGACATGAAGGGGTATGTGCTTTGCTCTCTCAATGCACAGATGCAGCCATCCAGATACATTTCCATTGACGACAAGCCCCTCTTGGTTATACCCTTTTGTATACTTTTTAGACTGGTAATTTAGATTCTTCTCATCTACAACCACAACTGATCAAACAATCTTCCTGTCAAATTGTCTTCACGTTTCCCTTCTGAAGTGTGTGTCTGTTTAGTGCAAGAGGCAGCTTTTTGTGTGACAGATGTCTTTATCAAATGTGGAGCCTACACCATGTGTTCAATATCAGCCGTGTGTTTGGTAGAAGGTGGGTGCCAGGAAGTGGTGTAGAGGAGAGCAGGGAGGGGTCTGCATGTTACTGAGGCCTGGGGCTTCGGGAGGATGACACTGTTCATGCCTCAGGGCAACTGCTTGCCTGTCCTACCTCCCAGCCAAAGGTTGGACGTGGTATATAAACATGGCCAGTGCTCAGGTCTCTGGGGTCCAGCTATAGCATGTGACACAGTAGTCCCTCAGTGTTTATGTAAAAGGAGTCCAGTAACATCTTCACTGCAGGTAACTGACCGACATGAGTGGTCTTGACAGCCATCTCCAGCTCCAGAGAGGAATGGACTCCTCTGGGTTCGGTCCCTGTGTCCCGGTGACCAGAGTGAGGGCTCCTAAGCCCTGTTTTGCAGGGGGACTTCTCTTTTTAGTTTGTCTCTTATAATTCCCTGTCTCCAACTACAACTTCAAAAAAAGAGAGATTGATTTGGCCACATTGGTCCAGTGCTTTCTTTTTTGGTTCAATATTGAGAGGGTGTGTTTGAAAATCTAATGGTTACATGGGCAGAAAGGAAGAGGGCAGATTAGCTCATGCTCTAGACCTGAGTCCCAGAAGGAAGAGCATCCCACTGACTGGAGGACTTTCCTCCAGGGTTGGAGGGTGGGTCCTCCAACAGTGTCTTGTCATTCGGGTCTTGACCACTGCCCGGTCCTTGTTTTGCCAGGTGGACACCTGAAGGAAAGGCGCCGGCATGGGGGACAGCGCCAACCACCTGCCCTTCTTCTTCGGCAACATCACGCGGGAGGAGGCGGAAGACTACCTGGTCCAGGGGGGCATGAGCGATGGGCTCTACCTGCTGCGCCAGAGCCGCAACTACCTGGGTGGCTTCGCCCTGTCCGTGGCACACGATAGGAAGGCGCATCACTACACCATCGAGAGGGAGCTGAATGGCACCTATGCCATCACGGGTGGCCGGGCCCATGGCAGCCCAGCCGAGCTCTGCCACTACCACTCCCAGGAGCTGGACGGCCTCATCTGCCTCCTCAAGAAGCCCTTCAACCGGCCGCCAGGGGTGCAGCCGAAGACGGGCCCCTTTGAGGACCTGAAGGAGAACCTCATCCGAGAATACGTGAAACAGACGTGGAACCTACAGGTGGGTGGCGGGCGGTCCTCTGGCAGGTGCGAGGCAGGGTCTCATTGCTCACAGGGGCCCTAGAATTCCACACAGGCACCCAGTTGCATGAGAGCTATGCAGTGGTGCTTCAGATAAGCAACCCTCTTCTTAGTCATCAGCATGGGCCCCCAAATGCCTCACTCCAAGAAGGCAGCCTTTCCTCTTTTGTGGTCACGCTTGAGGGGTGGGCCCCTTCGTGCCAGCGATGTGGGTTTCTCCACCACAGGAAACCACTGTCACCCAATTCACGCTGGGCCCTTTCAGAGCGGGATCACAGGGCAAATACTGGTTTTTATTTACCTAAGAGGGTCATACTGAACACACTGATTGGCATTTGATTTTACCCCTTCCTAACATCTCTTCCAGAATTTTCCATGTCAACAAACACACAGTTGCATCAGCCCCTTACCAGCCATCTGATAGTCTATCCTGTGGACTGTAATTCATTTTACTAGTACATATTGGTAGACACCTTCATTGTTTATAAATAATGCCCCCCCAACATTCTCCTAACCTTTTATGCAATATCAGCAGGGTAACCCAAAACTGGTTGGATTGAACACAGTGAAGGATTTGGATGTGATGACAGGTTGTCATCCAAAAAGGTCCCAGAGGTTGTGACAACTTACATTCCCACCACACTCTCCATAGCACTTGGTATCAGGAGCCACCAGTCTGGTTGACAGTCTTCTGATCGGACTCATGTGTTCAAACATTTCCTTGCTCTTTTTGGATATATACATTTTACATATACATGTGGATAACAGTAAAGACTTTTTGAGGATTCTGTCCACTCCTTTACTCCTATAATATGCTCTGCACTGAATTCAGTCTTGCAGACCAATACTATGGATTCAGTATTTTTCATTAGTATTTATTGGATATGATTTACACCAGGGGTCCTCCAGGATCTAATGCCTGATGATCTGAGGTGGAGCTGTTTTAGTAATAATAGGAATAAAGCTCACCATAAATGTAATGTGCTTGAATCACCCAGAAACCATCCCCCACGAGGTCAGTGGAAAAATCATCTTCCATGAAACTGGTCCCTGGCGCCAAGACTTAGACCATCCTTTTACTCTTTTAGTCAGATTTACCGAGGTATAATTTACACGCTATGAAAATTCATCCTTTTTGAATATACAGTTCTATGATTTTTTATTTTTTAATTTTTTTTTATTTTTATTTTTTATGATTTTTTTTTAACAGACAGGTGATACCCACCCCCACCCCCAATCAAGATACACAACAGTTCCATCACCCATCAAGCACCCTCAGGACCACCCCCTGGCAACCCTGGCAACCCCTTACCTGATTTCTGTCCCTATAGTTTTGCCTTGTCCAGAATGTCATGTAAATGGACTCACACAGCATGTAGCCTTTTCAGACTTGTTCCTTACACCCAGTGTAACACATTTGTGAGCCAGCTATGTGTCAGTGGTCCCTTCTTTATTGTGGCTGAGTAGTATTCCACACTCTGTTGCTTTTGCCCTTTGCTGACTTTGAACCGGTTACCTCCTTGGTATGTAACTGCTATTGCTTTTGTTTTTCATCCCATCTATGAAGCATGACAGAATGTTCAGGTTCACCTTCCCTTCTGCCTCCCCTCCTCCCTTTCCTCTCCTCAGGGGTTGGTTATGTTTTTATTTTCACTTCTTCTGGTTCTTTTTATAACTTTGAATCATCAACTTGTGTTCTTCATTTACTACTGTGATAGGTATCTATTTCTCTCCCACTAAGTATGATTAGAAAGTTAATTCACCCAGCTGTCAGCCTCCTTCTCATTCTTGTTTTCCATGTTGTCATTTCTGCATTGTCAAGGTTTATCTCTTTTTTTCTGTGATCACATCTCCTGCAGGAGCAGCATGTGTAAACCACTCAGTGAAGCCTTTTAGGGGCAGACAGAAAAAAGCATGTCTCCTTGGTTGCACACATCTTAAGTCTTCCAGATGGTCATTAAATGATCAGGGTCTAATATAAAACAATCAGTTCTAAGAGGTATTGATTGGGAGAGGGTAGGAGGCCCCTTCTCTAGACCTCATGGATTATACCTGATGGTTTCTAAAGCCCAATGTGTCTTTGCAAAGGCCAGCCTCTATTCTAAAATCTATTTTGTTAGTATATACATTTGAAGATACTTTAACATATAAGGTCTGTTGGCTTTCTTTATTGAATGAATAAACAAACATGTGATTTCATTTTACTGTATCAGGACTTAGGACAGATTGGACCTGCTTCATGTGTCTTTCTGATCACTTTCACTTATTATGGCTTCATCTCCTCTCCTCGTGACAGGGTCAAGCTCTTGAGCAGGCCATCATCAGCCAGAAACCTCAGCTGGAGAAACTGATCGCCACCACAGCCCATGAAAAAATGCCCTGGTTCCATGGAAAAATCTCTCGGGATGAATCTGAGCAGATTGTCCTGATAGGATCAAAGACAAATGGAAAGTTTTTGTAAGTATTGTGTCTTTTCCCTTCAACCACTAGCGCCAGGCCTGCTTGGACAGTTAGGGGTCACTCAGCCTTCCCATCCCTGAACTCCTGGTGACCCCGGGGAAGGGATCATGGGCTATCAACTGAAACACACATGTTGGTCGGCCTCATAGACATCTCAAATTGAAGCCATCTCAAGTAATTCAGCATTTGTTTTGCCCAGTCTAGCCCCAAAGTGAACCCACTTCTTGGGCACTGAGGGGCATCATTTAAGAAAGTTTTTTCAGCCACATATTCTGCTTTTAATGACAAAACATGGGATGTGTAATAGTATGCATCCATCCATGTTAAAAAACAGTGCAATATGTTTGCTCACATTTGCCCCAAGATCTCAGACTTTGCTTCTCTTTTTGCTTGGAGAGACATGCCAATGGGGCAGATAGAAAAGAAAATTTTCTGATAGTCACTCATATGAAAGGTTAGCACAGGAACTTGATCACAAGCAGGTGTGTGAACTCTGGCCTCATAATCTCAGAAATGAGGTGTGCATCCCAAGCCCTTTTCACTGTTATCCTCAATGGTCAATCCCGGAGCTGCTGGAGATGCAGGCCACCTCGGGGCAGGGTTGGTGGTTCAGGGAAGGCAAGGAGCTGTCTCAGACAGCTGTTGACTTGTTGCCCCAAGATGCTGTGACCAAGGGGATGGAGGTATGCTCACCTGTGCTTGTCACTGTTCAGTGATCACTCCCTGGCCATGCCAACTGGGTGCCCCATCCTGGCCTTGGACACTTGGACAGCAGTGTAGCCCTGTAACCAAGAATGTGGAGACACACCCAGCTGGTGTTTTAAACTTTTTCTAGAAATAAAAGTGTTTTCTCTGAGTATCCATCTATTTAAAGAATTTTCCTCAGACTTTACCATAAAAGTAAAAGTAAATTTAGTTGCTCAGTTGTGTCCAAATCTTTGCAACCCTATGGACTATAACCCACCAGGCTTCTCCCTCCATGGAATTCTCCAGGTAAGAATACTGGAGTGGGTAGCCATTCCCTTCTCCAGGGGATCTTCCCCATCCAGGAATCAAACCCTGGTCTCCTGCACTGCAGGCAGATTCTTTCCCATCTGTGCCACCAGGGAAGCCTGACTTTACCATAATCCCTTTTATTTAAGAGATGATCTTAAACACAATACTGTTCTTAAAAAGAGATCCTAAAAGCAAGCATAGAGGAGCCCGAGTGGGCACACAAGGTGACTGGGATGATGCTTAGTGGATGCAGAAAGAGCCACTGGCAGAGATCCTGGAGCAGGAGGATGCTTTCCCCTCAGTGTAGCACCTCTTGGCTCATTGTGCCCTGAGGTTTGGACTTTTACCACCTTCTTAAGAGTAATTTCCAACACACCACACGTGTCATGGGACTGGGGCTATGGCCTCCTGTGGGTTAAGTCAGCCCTAAGTTGTGTTATCCAGACAGCAGGGCCTCTTGCTTTCTTGCCGGTTCAGAAGCCTGCTGTCAGGCTCACTGGGGAGTGCTGCACTCAAGGAGGCTGCCTTCTCCCAACTTAGATGAGGGGGTGCTGCAGGGGGTACCCACCGTGGAACAGCCCCACAGCTATGGAGTCCTTCCTTCTGAGTTTTCTCAGGCCTCATTCAGGTTTCCCTAAAGAATGTGTCTCCTCCATACTTACCCATCATTTAAATGAACTTGTCCACCTGTGGACCAGCAGTTAGCAGTGTCCACAGCTGTGTGTGTTCTTGGGCTTCCCTCGTGGTTCAGATGATAAAGAATCTGCCTGAAATGCAGGAAACCCAGGTTCGATCCCTGGATCAGGACAATCCACTGGAGGAGGGAATGGCTACCCACTCCAGTATTATTGCCTGGAGAATCCCATGGACAGAGGAACCTGGTGGGCTACAGTCCATGGGGTCACAAAGAGTCAGACATGACTGAGTGACTAACACTTTCAGAGTTGTGTGAGGTGCTAGATGCTGACTCCATCTTGGGCTTTGGAGATGGGGGTCTCTGCCTTGTGAAGTCCACACTGGCAGAAGTAGGCCCTGAACAACTGAACAAGAGCTGCCCAGTTCATTGGAGCATTTAAGGAAGGGACTAGAACTTGCTGTGATTGGCGGTCTGGGATTCTGTTTTATGCTGGGTGATCAGGAGGGGCCTTGCTATAAAGGAGACATTTGAGCAGAGACCTGAGGGCAGCTGGGAGCCATCCTGATTGAGGGGAAAGCCTGTGTGGGTTCCCAGAGACAGGAGTGTGCTCAGAGGGTCAGGCCACCATGAGGCCATTGTGGATGGTACAGAGTGTGGCGGGGACGGATGGAGAATAGGGACTAGGCCACTGAGGGCTTTCCAGTATTGACACTTTTCTTTGGGCAAATTAGTGCATCTACTTTTGGGAAGGTGTTAGGGCAAATACAATTGAAGTTCACGGTGACCCATCTGGCTGGGTGTAGAAAGAGCCCGTGTAGAGGAACAGAAGGGAGCAGGCTCACCAGCCACACTTGTGTGCGTTTATATACATTTAAACCAAAGTATGATGTCCGTTTTCCTGCAGAGACCTCAAGGCCTTCACCTTCTCACGTCTGAGCACAAGAACTGCCTTTAACGAATGTTGGGAGGAGGAGAGGCAGGGGTGCTGGGGGCTGCAGCAGCATGGCTGGGCTCTGAGTCTCTTCTGTGCAGACGGGCTCTTATTGCTGGGAGCAGCAGTTCATTGCCTCCTCTGTTGTCCCCAGTGACCCTGGGGAAGAGGCCGATTTCAGCACCAACCCTCTGTTACCCTGATGTGTACAGTTCCTTGTCCAATCTCATCTTGCTGCTTGATTTTGTCACTGAGGGCTGATGATCCAGCTCAGCATTATTTGCAGTTCTTATGCAGGTCCATTCCCAGCCCTCTGGACATGGTTTGGCTCCCGTTGGCTGCCCATGACCACCATGTGCTTCTTATACCCCCACCAACCTCTTCACACCTGCTCAGAGGTGTTTGTTTCCTATGCCACCTTGTCTATGACTTGCCAAGACTGGCAGATCTTACCTGGAACACCCCCACAGCACCTGGAAGATGTTGAGAATGTAGGAGGCTTTCACATTCAGAAACAGAACCTATTCTCTGTGATTCTTAATAATGGGCTTCGTTGTGGCTCAGATAGTAAAGAATCCACCTGCAATGCAGGGATGCGGGTTCAATCCCTGCATCAGGAAGACCCCCCTGGAGAAAGGAATGGCTACCCACTCCAGTATTCTTACCTGGAGAATCCCAGGGACAGAGGAGCCTGGTGGGCTACAGTTCATGGGGTCAAAAAGAGTCAGACATGACTGAGTAACTCATACATATTCAGATAACACATGAATAGGTCACACATAATGTTAAGTACTTCATAGAAGGTTAATAAATATAAGTGGATTTTGAGTCATTAATGAGCATAGGATGAAAGGCCAAGGGACACCCATGGCTAATGTTGAAGATTTACAGTTCCCATTTAGGAATATCTTGGAGAATCGAGTGTGAAAATATTAGATTCATTCTGGAATCTCTGGTCTGTGTTGTGGTTCAATGGAGCAAATCCCCAGCCTCCATCTTAGAAAAACAGTCTTCTTGCCACCCACAGAAACCAGGGATGAAAAGACAGTATATCTCAAAAAGTCTGAGACCTAAATGAGGTTATAAATCCTCTCTAATGCAGTTTAAAATGCAGAAGGTATGTTCCAAAGACTCTTAACTGTTGAGATGGATTGTGTCTGGGGAATCTGTCTAACTCAGATTGTAGTTTTTCCTCCTTTTGAATTATGGTATTAGGTACATTTGTGGTGGCAGAACTTCTGAGCCAAGAGGGGCCTCACTGCTAATGGTCAAAAGCCTTTGATTTTAATCAAGGACTTAGGCAGAGAAGGCAATGGCACCCCGCTCCAGTGCTCTTGCCTGGAAAATCCCATGGACGGAGGAGCCTTGTGGGCTGCAGTCCATGGGGTCGTGAAGAGTCGGACACAACTGAGCAACTTCACTTTCACTTTTCACTTTCATGCATTGGAGAAGGAAATGGCAACCCACTCCAGTGTCCTTGCCTGGAGAATCCAAGGATGGGGGAACCTGGTGGGCTGCCGTCTATGGGGTCGCACAGAGTCGGACATGACTGAAGTGACTTAGCAGCAGCAGCAACCTTAAACTGGCTGATTAGAGTTAGCTGAGACTTCTCAGGGGGCACTAGTGGTAAAGAACTCACCTGTGAATGCAGGAGACATAAGAGATGCGAGTTTGATCCCGAGGTTGATAAGATCCTCTGGAGGAGGGCATGGCAACCCACTCCAGTATTCTTGCCCGGAGAATCCCATGGACACAGGAGCCTAGTGGCTACAGTCCACAGGGTCGAAAAGTGTCCGACACGACTGAAGTGACTTAGCATGCACACACGCACGAGATGGTGAAAAGGCAGGCCTGACCATCAGGAGGCCTGACCTCCTCCATCAGGAGGGAGGAAAAGTCTCAGTGGGAAGAGTGCTGGGCAACTGTACCCAGAGCTGCTGGGTGAGGACGGTGGAAGGAAAGGGGTGGGTTGTATGTGCTGACTGCAGGTCTTATTTTTGGAAATGCCTGATGAATACCAGGCCAGCATTGCCAAGGGGCTGGGAGGTGGAGGGGATTGAAATAGAGATCCCAGGAGAGTGGTGGGTGTGAGGTGCTGCCAGGCCGAGTCTCCAGGGCCAAACCAGTGGGGCTGTCAGGTCTGGGAGACTTGTGAGGTCCTGAGGGAGACCCCGACCTCTGGGCTTGCCCCCTCCCTGAGTGTCAAGGGGGGATGAGGCTTCTGTGGGGGGAGAGATGGCAGTCAGGTCTTGGACCAGGCACAGTAGTTTGCAGAAGTCAAGAGCGAATGTGGCCTATGTGGTAGCTGGGTTGGGCAGGCAGGGGCAGGAAGGTGAAAACTGAGGCCAAGAGGAAGCCCAGGGGAGCTGGAGTCCAAGGGTCTGAGAGGCACCTGTGCTGGGGAGCGTGTGAGGAGGGCGAGAGTTGTGGCCT